TCCTTACAACTTGCACCGGGGGGGGGGCTGCGGACATGAAAGCGCCTGCTGCGAAGCAGGAGGAAAGGAGAGAGGAAAAAGTAACTTATTTCTAGCGGCAGAACAGGTTGGAAGATGGCTGTTTGATGTTATTTATTGTTTTGAAAAAATCCGTGAGATTGCTCTATACGTCCGTATACCTGCAAAATGATGTCAAATCTTTATAATTTACAGACAATCTGTACAAGTTGGCATGTGTGGGTTCAGGCTGAAGCTGCCCCGTTGCCTTACTGCTGGTCTCTCTCTGTGTGTGATGAACAAAAACACACAAAAACATCAAAATTAGCACAGAAACAGTACTATATAACATTTTAGACACATTCTAGACAGTTTATCAGCTAAAAAAAGATAATTTTGGGGTAAGTTACTCTTTAAACTTAAACTTAAAGTGGACCGGGTCATCGTAGGATCTCAGCTTACTAAAAGTAATGTGACCCTTTCTCCTCTGAACAAACAGAGGTGGACAGAGGAGGAGAAAGGGAACTAATATTCATGAATATATTAACCTGGAAGAAGTAAAATATTTCCTGTTGGACCACGAGGAGAAGTGTGGTGGAGTACCAGGAGGACCAGTGTTTGGGACATCTTGTCTAAGATCAACCCTCTGTGGATTAGTAGAGCATAGTCTATAGTTTTTGTTTCTTGTTTTTGATTGTATTAAAAATAAGGATGTAAACACCTTATTAATATTATCCTGTTTTAATATTTCTTCACTTTAATAAACTTTTTGCCAAAAGAGCACAAATCCACTCAGCGAGTCCTGGTGTGTCTGAGTCCTCGGCAGGTTTTTCCTTCTGTGACATTTTTCTGGTTTTATTAAAAAGATATTAAAATGCACTGATCTGACAGCAACCTTACCCCCCCCCCCCCCCCACCCCAGCCTTCAGATCCATTAGCCTCAGTCAGAGGGGTGTGGGGTAAGAGCAGCAGGGGAAGAAGAGTCCAGGGGACCCCCAGGTGAACAGGGGGTCTCCACTCCTTCAGGTCTCTGTAAGTCTGTGCCTGGATAATTATGATGTAAGACAGCATTTACCCTCAAAACAAACAGGTCACTTTATGCTAATTAAAAATCCTACTTGTTGAATAAATTTGCTAAACCTTACCTATAAGAACAGGTGATTTGAGAGTTTTATTAGTCTGAGTCAGTAGGTGGGCTCAGCAGGCTTTGAGCCCCTCAGAAAGACCGTATTATGTCAGGATAGACTTCCTGAATAATAACTGGAATAAACTGATTTTATAAACTGAGTTTATGACAGAAAGGCTCAGGCTGCAGTAGACCAACACTAACATCAAATACTTTTTAAACTAAAGATATAAAAACTACTTACACGCTTGATTTGTCCTTCTCTGCTGATAAAACCTGCAGGAAGGTTGTGGAGATGTTCCTCTGCAGGTGGTTCTGTTGGACCAGGTCCAGCTGGATGTTCCTCTGCAGGTGGTTCTGTTGGACCAGGTCCAGCTGGATGTTCCTCTGCAGGTGGTACTGTTGGACCAGGTCCAGCTGGATGTTCCTCTGCAGGTGGTACTGTTGGACCAGGTCCAGCTGGATGTTCCTCTGCAGGTGGT